AGGGGCCTGGCGGAGATCGCCCTGCAAAGCAGCAGTAAAATCCTTAACACGGCTGAATGAAGTGGCATACTTGCTAGAGTGCCGAGAAATCGCGGGGGGAGGGCTGGCAAGCAAAGCATGCAAGCTGGCGGCCTGGCTCCCACTACCTTGGTCGGCCCGCAGCAGCCCCATAAACGCGCGAAACTGAGCCACCAGCCAGCAGATGGCGCGGTGCTCGGGATACCTTGGCTGAGAATCTCGGCCCACTAAGCTGCGCCACACGAGCTGAGGCCCCTTGCTCCTGCATCCTGCCTTCACCAGATCCGCCCCCAACAAGTGGACCAGCTCCTCCTCCGCCTTATCGGCCCACGCTCCATAGGCCGGCGACAAGTGGCTGAGGGCAGCCTCGGCGTCGCCTGCGGCGACAGCATCAAGACCAGCCTGAGCTCGCGAGATCACATGATCCCAGCACGGAGGGGGAAGCATCGGACCTATGACTCGGTCTCTCGGCAGCGGCGGTGGCTTCCTAAAACTGAGGGCCTTGAGGGTGGCAGGGGATCGGTGGAACTGAAGCTCCACGGGACGATGGGGACTAAGCTCCGTCGTCAGATCGATCCAGCAGGAGTCCACGGCTTTTCCCAGCCCCCCACTGCAAACGAAGTAGTCAAGGGTGGAGGGGACCCCCTGACCAAAATGAGTGTGACCTCCAGGAATGATGGTCTGGCCCTGAAGCTGAGAGACAAACTTGCTGTTCTCCAGCTCGCAAGGAGAGACGTCGAAGTCTCCTCCCACGGCAAAACTGGAGCAGCACGTAGCAGCACAGGTGCCAACACAACTCAAGAGCTCGAGATTACGCTCAGTCAAACCTTCCCCATCATGCAGGTAAACCGAAAACATGTGGTAGCTGAGACCACCAGGAACCTGAATGATCCCGTGAGTGGCCCGACCAGGAACGATAGCGTGTCCAGAAGGAGGGGGAAACAGACCTAGCCAGCTTTTCACAAGCAAAGCAGTGCCCCCTGACGTGCCTTTATCCGTGAGAGTAGCTGGGGTCCACAACGATTTCCAGCCATTACGGGCACACCAGGAGGAGGCCTGGGCAACTTCTTCACTGCCCGCCAATCTGTGTTCCTGCACCATCAGGACCGCTGAAGGCGTGTGAGGTAACATCTTCTTAAGGGTACCCCAACTGTTGCAGTTGAGAGTTCGGACAGACAAAGCGATCGAGCTCATCCCTTCAGGCTCCAGGAAGCCAGGAGGGGCAGGGTAAGAGCACGGGAGGGGAGCCTGGGAGATCCTGGGGCCAGGCACCACCTCAATCGGGTACTGAGAGCCAGGCGCAGCCAACACTGGGTAAGCTGGGCTAGGCCGAGCAAAATCGGCAGGCTTGGAAAGGGTAACCTGCAGGGAGTCGAACCTCTGACCATCACCAGACAAAATTCGTTTGGCCCTCCAGCGAGTGTGACGGACAGCAGCCTTCAGGCCACAGCCTGAGGGACACGCACCACGGGAGCGGAGGAAACGACGGAGGTGAGGCCGAGAGGCCGAGAGACTAAAGTTAGACAAGTAAGACGGCTGGCCCGCAAAAACAGGCCCAAGACCGTCGGGGTGGCTCGGGCGGAAATGTTCAGGCTGTCGCAGTGCCCCCCCGCTGCCCCTCGGCTGCGGGGGGGGAAGCCTGTGACAGCAGGCGTTCAGCACGAGCTCGAGCATCTGCACGATCAGGATCTGCCGCAGCGCTGTCCCCTGGCGCCTCGGCCTGGGGGGCTGAGGAGGCAGCCCCAGCAGCAGCCCCGCTGTCGCCCCCCGCGGCGGCGGCGGCGGCAGGAGGAACGGGGTCCCCGTCTCCCGCGGCAGGCTCTGCTGCTTCGTCTCCGTCTTGGCGCCTCCTCTTGGCGGCGAGCCTCTCGAGCATCTTCTTCTGGTCTGCCTGGGAGGCTTTGGCCCTGACCAGCGCATCTCCAAACAACTTACGAACTGCATCCTGAAGCGACTGCTTGAGCTCCTGCGCCCTGCGATTTGCCTCCTCGAGGTCGTCACCCGCAATCTCGTAGTCATGCTGAGGTGCCAGCAGTGAATCGATCGAAATCGGGATCTCCTCAGCCTTGCCCTGGATGATGGCCGCAATGTCCAAACAAGCGGCAGGAGGCGGGCCTGGGGCCGAAGGAGGTGCGACTTCTTTGTGAAGCTGCTCCACCAGGGCCGTGTGCGCCTCTTCCGCCTGCTTGAGCTCATTCGTGAGGGTCTGAATTCGGCTCCGCTGCACAGCCAACTCAGCCTCCATCTTCTCATAGACATTGCAGGCCTTGTCGGTACGCTCACGAAGCTGGCGAAGGTCATGGAACGCCTTGTTGACCTTGGCCTGCAGCGGAACAGCTGGGGCTGCGGCAGCACGGCGCTTCTGGTCCAGGATGGACTGATGCTTCCTCGCCCCCATCGTGTCACCGCACTTCGTGAGCATATCCACCAAATTCTCCAACTCGGGAATGGAGGTGTTGCCGTGATCCACGGGCTGAGGCGCACCCCAGCCGTGGCCAGCACCGCCTCCGCCTCCGACACGACCTGCATTCGAGTCGAACTGAGGTCCAGTGCGTAGCGGAAGGCCAGGCCAGCCGCTGTGTCCTCCCGCCCCGCTCGAGTGCCAACTGCCTCCCCACGAGGGGGGGGCATACGTGCCGGGGTCGGATGCAGCACGGTACTTCTTGCAATGCTTGCAGAACCACCACGACCGTTTGTTACGCTTGCAACCGCAACTGCCACATGTCCACGTCTTCCCGTTAGCCGAGAAAGCGGTCCAAGCGGCGTCGTCGTCAGCAGGAGCAGCTGCAGAGCACCTCCAAGGAGCCACAGCACTGGAAGCAGGCGCCATGGCTGAGGTGGTGAAAGAATCGTGAGACCTTGCTTTAACCTCCAGAAGGAGGCTCTCAAGCCAGCACACAAATGGTAACAGCACAAGGTGATCTGGCTCAGCAGAAGCTTGGGCCAGAAGGGCTTGAGCCCCAAAGAGGGGGGGGGCTTCCGCGGCCTCAAAAATCAACGAATCGACAACGAATGTGTAATGGGCCATTTGTTACATTTTGGGGCCTCTTCGGAAGGACCGAGAACCATGCCGTGGTATGGCGCTGGAAATAATGACGCCAGCGCTGCACTGGGAGCTCGATTCGGAACGAGCGGAAGCGCGGAAACGATGCCAGCGTTGCATCGGGAGCACGATTCGAAACGCGAGAATGAGACCAGCGCTTCAGCGAGAGCAGCATTTTGAGACATCACTCCGACGGAAGGACCCCACATGATAATCTGTTTAGCTTGTCCTTACCCTTTTCCTCCTCGCCCTGACGGACATTCTCCTCTCGCCCGCCGTGCTGCCCTCACCTAGTCCCCCTCCTGCTATTTCTCCTCCTCATCCTCCTCCTTCTCCACTTCCTACTCATCATCACCCCCTCCCTACCCCTTCCCCGTCCTCGTCGTTCCCCTGCTTCTTCTCCGCGCGCTCCTCCCCTTCCCCCTGGTCGGGGCAAGCAAATCGATGTTCCTCGGCGCCGTCGCCGCCGCGGTCCGAGCGGGACCCATAGGAGGGGGCTCCCGTCTGAGACTTCCGCACACTTCACTCACAGACGAGGCTCCCGCTTGATAGATTTCCTCCAAATTCAAGCCTGGGGAGCCCAACAGTGACGACAGTTACAGGTTGCCGATGACCCGCTCGGATTACCAACATGAAATGCGGGACCCATAGAAAGGGGGCTCCCGCCTGAGACTTCCTCACAATTCACTCACAGACGAGGCTCCCGCTTGATACTTCCTCCAAATTCAAGCCTGGGGAACCCAAAAATGACGACAGTTACAGGTTGCCGATGACCCGTTCGGATTACCAACATGAAGTGCTGGACCCATAAGGAGGGGGCTCCCGCATTAAGATTTCTTCGCAATTCACTCACAGACGAGGCTCCCGCTTGACACTTCCTCCAAGTTCAGGCTTGATAGCCCCAAAAGTGACGACAGTTGCATGTTGCCGATGACCAGCTCGGATTACCAACATGAAGTGCGGGACCCATAGGGAGGGGGCTCCCGCCTGAGACTTCCTCACAACTCACTCACAGACGAGGCTCCCGCTTGATACGTCCTCCACATTCAGGCTTGAGAATTCCATAAGTGACGACAGTTATAGGTTGCCGATGACCCGCTCGGATTATCAACATGAAGTGCGGGACCCATAGGGTCGGGGCTCCCGCCTGAGACGGTGATGAGTGAGTGAGTGAGTCAGTGAGTGAGTGCGTGAGTGGGTGGGTGGGTGGGTGGGTGAGGCATGATGATGATGAGTGGTGGTGAGTGCGATGATGATGATGATGATGATGATGATGATGATGATGATGATGGTGGTGGTGGTGGTGGTGGTGGTGGTTCTGCTGCTGCTGATGATGATGATGATGGTGGTGGTGGTAATGATGATGATGCTGCTGCTGCTGCTGCTGCTGCTGATGATGATGATGATGATGATGATGATGATGATGATGATGATGATGATGATGATGATGATGATGATGATGATGATGATGATGATGAGAGGGAGAGTGAGAGAGAGAAGGGGTGAGGAGAGATCCTGCGCGGAGGGTGTCCAGAGAAAACAAGAACCCCACTTAGGATGTGGGGGAAAACAGCGGCGAGAACCCATCTCCCAGGAATCCTGCGTAAAAAACCAGTACGCGGAGGGGGGCCAGGCATTTCCTGGACGCCACCAGGGGAGAGAGTAGAGTTTTCACATGGTGTAATTGTGGAGGAGGGGAAGGAGGAGGAGGAGGAGGAGGAGGGGGAGGAGGAGGGAGGAGGGAGAGGAGGAGGAGGAAGGGAGAGGAGGGGAGGAGGAGGAGGGAGAGGGAGGCCAGGGCCCCACCTCAGCAGCCGCCGGTCGGCGCTCATGTGGGGCGCGCTGCTCGCGGGCGCGGGGCCCCGGTGCGGCGCGGTCGGCGGCCGCCCTGGCGGGGCGCCCGCCGCGGGCGCGCCGGGCGGCCGCGGCCCGCGGGCGCGGGCGGCGGGGCGGTGCCGCGGCGTGCGGCGCAGGAGCGGCGGCCTCGCGCGAGGCCTCCAAGAAGGCCCCCCCCCCAAAAAAACAAAAAACAGAAAAAAAAAAACAAACAACAAACAAAACAAGAACAAACAAAAAAAGACAAACAATGAACACAAAGGCCTCGCGCGAGGCCTCCAAGAAGGCCTCCCCCCCCAAACAAAAACAAACAAAACAATAAACAAAAAAAGCAAAACAACAAGACATAAGCAACAAGGAACAAAAAGGCCCCTCAACCCAGGTCGTGCTTTGAAGTCGGGCCTGTCCCTCTACGGGAGGGATCGGAGGTTGGGGGGTGAGACCGACCGAAGTCTGGAGGTTACTGTGTGGTCCGCCAGCCGCACCGTGGGCCGCCTTTCTCTCTCGGCCCTGCCGGGTGCGGGGCCCACTTCCCTCCGGGCCCCTCTCTTTGTTCGGGGGTTCGTAGAGTCTAGGCCTCCAAGATGGGGTCGGAGCAGATGGGGTCGGAGGATCGTGCTGCATCGACGATGCATCGGCGATGCGGCTCGATGTGGAGCCCGATGCGCTTCACATTGACGTCGCCGATGCCTCGCCGATGCATCGCCGATGCATCGCTGGTGCATCGCCGATGCGTCGCGATCCCTCAATCACACGATCCCTCAACCACATCTACTGCGACCCCATCTAGGATGCCTCTATAGAGGGAGGGTTATCCCAAGGTGGGGCTTGGGAACGGGCCCAGCTGGACGCTGCCGTGTAACGCTTCTCCTTCCAGGGGCCGTTCGGAGCGGTTTTCCCTCCAACCCTCCTGTGCCCGAACCCCACCTTTCTGCCCACCCCGATTCTTAAACGGGAGGGCAGGGGGGGCGGGGCGAGCAGAGCAGCGTTCTGGGGAGCTCCCCTTCGGCATCGCTCGGACGGGTGCACTATTTTCGGCGGGGACCAGGAGGAGCATATTGTATCATCGGGCACAAAAACACGCGCGAAACCGAAACATGTAACGGGTATGGACGTCCGAGCGATGGCCCCCCCCCCCCCCATGTACCTGCTTCTCAGAAGCCCTCCCGCCTCTCGGCGGGGCCCTCCTGAGACGCGAGGGGCCGATCCCCTCTCGGGAGCCCCTTGCCGTCCTCAGGATGCCCCACCCCTCCCAAGTCTTGCAGGCCCACTGCGATCCGATCGATCCGATGTTTCGATCGAACTCGACTCCGATATTCCGACGAGGCCCGAGGCGGCCGGATGCCCACCTGGCGCTGTCCTGCAACCGGATGCGCGGCCGAAGCGCTCCGATCCCCGACCTCGTGCCTGTATAGTGCGGCCTGATCTCTGAGGCTCTCGCCCCGATCCGACCCGATGTTTACTGGTCCGATGCCGGCTGGGCCGGCCCAGGCCCCCCTGTGGCGCGCTGCCACTTCTCAGGAGGGAAAAAAAACACACACAGACACAATTATTCGTCGATCTCCAGGAAAATATGGGAAAATATGGGAAGTGGGGGGGAAAACAAAAACCCAGAAAATATGGGGAAATATGGGGAATCTTTTTTACTTGTGTGTATTTATTTGTGTGTCCCAGGGCCCCTTCAATTTGCCCACAGATGGTGGGATGTTTTTGTCAGTGCGGGGACCCTGGAAGTCCGGGCCCACTCCTGGGGGAGCCAGTTTTTCGCCCCGGGTCCGTTTCTGGTGGTCCCCGGGCCCGTTACCAGGCCGGTCTCAGGCCGAAATCGAGGAAACACCTGGAGATCCGCCGCAGCGAAAGTATTGCAAGGTGGTAACACATAATGAACGGAATCCCAGACCCAGTCTTTCTGCGCCAGGTTTCGAGCCGGATCGATCCGTGAGGGCCCCAGGGCCTGAATTTGGCGGGAACGCCCAGCTCGAGCAAATTTGAGACGCCAGGACTTCAGTCAAGCCGAACTCGAGGAAAAACGCTTGGGTTGAAAATCAGACTGCCAGAAAACTGGGTTTCTGCTCCCCTGGACCTCTCCGGGGTTGCGTTCTGATCAGAACATCGATGTCGAGGGGATCTAGCCATGGCGACGAAAGGGGTGGAAAGCATCCACAGACCTCGACCGACCGTCCAACCTCGATCCTCGAGCCCCGATCGTCGATCCTCGATCGACGACCGACGACCGCCCGAGCTCCTGGGGCTGCAGGAGGAGGCCCTCCTGGCGGCGGAGGCGGCGGCCGAACGCACCCTCAACTTTGCCATGGCCGCGGACCTCCGAAGGCGGCGCCTGGACCTGTGGGTGAGGTCGTGGGCCGAGGACCCCGGCGGCTCAAAGCCGGGGCCCCACGGGGCGGGGCCTTTCGTCCTCCTCCTCCTCCTCCTCCTCCTCCTTCTCCTCCTCCTCCGTCTCCTCCGTCTCCTCCTCCTCCTCCGCCTCCTCCTCCCCGTCCTCCTCCTCCTCCTCCTCCTCCTCGCCCTCCCCCTCCTCCCCGTCCTCCTCCTCCTCCGCCTCCTTCTCGGGAGGCTTCAGACGGGGGTCAATGCAAACGGGGGTCAGCAAGAGCGCCAGATCTTGCAGGATCCTGCAGGGCTGGGGTCGCACTGACCCGGGCCCGGGTGCAGGAGTTTGCAGGATCCTTTGCGTTTGCCTAGGTTTGGGTGCAGGATCTTGCAGGATTCTGCAAGGCCTGACTGACCCGGGTCTGGATTGACCCGGCGGCTCGAAGCGGGGGCACCGCGGGGCAGCAATTAAGTCGGGCGTGTCCCTCTACAGGAAAAAGTTTCAAACACAGTCAAAAACTAGTCTGGGGGCGAATATTTAACCGTTTTTTGAGTAGTTTTGAATATTTCTTTGTATCTTGTATTCCCTACCTAGGCTCTGCCTAGAAAGGGTTCTTACTTTCTGGGCTTAAAGGGGCCGGGCAGTGGAAAGCGCCCCGGGCGGTTCCCCCAGTATCCCCCCCGCGGTTCCCCCAGTGATGTCCATTTAGCTTAGCGTCGTTTATCTCATCTTAGTTTAGCTTATTTCATCTTAGCTAAGCTTAGCTTCATCTTAGCTCATGTTTGTCTTAGCTTAGCTGACCTTCATCTTAGCTTCGCTGAGCTTTAGCATCGCAGAGCATATCATAGCATAGCATAGCATAGCGTAGCATAGCATAGCGCAGCGCATCATAGCGTATCATAGCTCATCATATCATAGCCTCGCGCAGCATATCATATCATAACTTAACATAGCATAGCGCAGCACAACACATCATATCATAGCACAGCATCGCATAGCATAGCACAGCTTAGCAAATCATAGCATATCATAGCTTAGCATAGCACAGCGCAGCACGACATATCATAACTTAGCTTATCATATCATAGCATATCATACCATAACACATCGCATCATATCATATCATATCATAGCACATCATAGCATAACAAATCATAGTATACCATTTCATATCATAGCGTAGCATAGCATGGCATAGCAAAGCATAACATAGCATAGCAACTAATGCTGCTTTCCTAGGGGCTCCAACTTCTAGGTAGGGTCGCACTGGTGTAATTTTTCGTCCCAAATCCGCCTGTAGGGGGACACGCGCGACCTAAGACTACAAAGGATGTGGTTACGCCTGGGTGTGGTTTGCCATCGGCACCGTCGGGGCCTGGGGGGCACGACACTGTCCTCGTCGGGCCTCCCCGGGGCAAGGCGGAGAGCTCTGTCGAGGTCCTCGCCCGCTCCCCAGGGTGCCCCTCAGGGTGCCAGTTGCAAACCACACCCTTTGCAAACCACACCCTTTAGAGTTGCCGACCGTCGGACGCGGCTAGGGCAAGGGCCGGACGATCGACATGGGTGCGGAAACAATTGGTGATGTGCTCAACAGCAGCTCCTGTTCATTTTGAGCAGGATCGGCGGGCACCAACTCTGCACCAGCACCGATCCTGGCCAGGATCGCCCCTAGGCCCAGGCTCGGTGTATACGCCTTCCTGCCTTTGGCAGGAAACCATGTACATATACACCGATTCTGAGCCTAGGATCGGCCTGGCCAGGATCGGTGCAGGTGTATAGTTTTGGTGCTCTCCGGCAGGACTCGCTGTCCGCGCCGCCGCGCAGGCTGTTCTTTGAAGCCAGAGAGCCGCCCGCCCAACAGCGGCTGCTTTCGGTTTTGGAAACAAGATTTGCTGTTCCGAGTTCCACCCATTTTTTCCGCATCCATTTCGGGCGTCCAAAATGGGTAAATCCGTGCCAGAGCATTCTGAAACGCTCTCAGAGCGCTCCAGAACGCTCTCAGCAGACCGCGGCGCCCAAGACATCCTTCCAAACCGCCGGTTCTCAGAGATTCTCGATGTATCTTCGCCTGGATTTATCCGCGTCTTGGCTTCGTCTTACCCTGAGGGATTGGTGATGCGGCGGCTCGAAGCTGGGGCCCCGAGGAATAGGGGCCCGAGTCGATCAGGAGCAAAAAACTTTCGGAGCTGCGCGAGAATCTCTCAGATCGGCGCTGGAGCCTCCCGGCGGCGCCTCCGGCCCCGTCCCTGGCGCGCTCCGTGCGCCAGGGAGAGGGGGCGTCCAGCGCCGGTCCGAGGAGTCCGTGCGGAGAAGTGCATGGCTGCGTAGTTCCCAACATCCTGTGTTTTTTTCGGGTCTTGGTCTCGAAGGGACAGTGTCCCGCGTCACTCCCTCCTTCCTTCTTCCTCCCTCCTTCTCCTCGCTCCTCTCATCCCTACCTCTGCCCTCCGCGTGTCAACCAGTCCGGCGCACCTCTCACGTGTTCGTGAACCCCCCATAGGGAGTTCCGCCGAGGGCTTCAGCGGCGACGTTCGCATGCGTCCCCTGGACCCATGTCGGCACACCCCTCACACGTTTCTTGCCCCCATAGGTGGCTCCACCCAAGGCCCCAGTGGCTGTGACCACATGCGTCTCCGCCATCCATTCCGGCACACCCGGCACACCCCTCACACGTTTCGCCGCCAGGCATGGACGGTGCTGTCCGTGCTGTGGCACGAGCATCCTGTTTCGTGCCGCGTGGGGAACCCTAAAGTGGCCCCAGAAGCCTCATAGTCCTTAAGCCTCATGAGGGGCAAAACAATTCGTTTCGTGGCCCCATCGAGAGCTTCATTAAAGGCCCCAGTGTCTGTGACTACATGCGCTCTCACCATTAATTCTGGAACACCCTTCACTCGTTTCGTGGCCCTACAGGGAGCTCCACCGAAGGCTCCAGTGGCTGTGACCACATGCGTCCCCGCCACCCTTTCCGGCACACCCCTCACACATTCCGTGACCCCATAGAGAGCTCCACCTAAGGCCCCAGTGGCGACGTTCGCATGCGCCCCCCCCTGCCAATTTCGGCACACCCCTCACACGTTTCGTGGCCCCACCACCTGAGGCCCCAGTGGCAACGTTCGCGTGCGTCCCGCCGCCGATTTCCGGCACACCCCTCATAAGTTTCGCGCCCCCATAGGGAGCTCCAGCGAAGGCTTCTGTGGCGACGTTCGCATGCGTGCCCCCGCCATCCCCCGCCCACTGCGGCACCGTCTAACACGTTTGGTGGCCCTATGGGGAGCTCCACCTAAGGCCCCAGTGGCGTCGCTCGCATGCCCCCCCCCGCCCACTTCGGCACACCCCTCACAGGTTCCGTGCCCATAGGGAGCTCCACGTAAGACCACAGTGGTGACGCTCGCATGCGTCTCACCCCGCCCATTTCGGCACACCCCTCGCACGTTGCGGGGCCTCACACAGGGAGCTCCACCTAAGACCCCAGAGGCGACATTCGCATGCGTTCCCCCCATCAATCTCGGTACACCCCTCACACGTCTCGTGGCCCCACAGGGCATAGCGAGCTCCAGCAAAGGCCCCTGTGGCGGTGTTCGCATGCGCCCCGCCCACCCAATCTCGGCACAGCCCTCACACGTTTCGTGGCTTCTTTGGGAGCTCCACCGGAGGCCCCAGTGGCCGCGCCCGCACGGCACCGCCACACCGTTTTCGGCACACCCCTCACGTTTCGTGGCCCATACGGAGCTCCATCGAAGGCTTCAGTGGCGACGTTTGCATGCGGACCCCAGACCATTCCGGCGCAACCCTCTCACATGTTTTGTGGGCCCACCCCAATGGCACAGTTCGCATGCGCCCCCCGACCACTATTACGGCACGCCTCTCTCGCGCTATGTGGCGCCCCCCGACCACTATTACGGTACAATTCTCCCAACCGCGGTATTCACAATCGCATCTTTGTTTGCTCCTCCACTAGGGCAGGCTCCATTTCAAGCCGATCGATTCAATTCGATTTTGATTCCAGACGGCCCGATCCGTTTCGATTCCGATATCCTGACGATCCGATGCGGCCCGATGTTTGCATGACACACTGTTGTTGCATGGCGGTGCTTGCATTGCGGTTGAGTCCTGGGCCGATGACCCAGCGGCTCACAGGTGGTGCCTTGCCAGGACGGGCGCTGGAGAACTCGGGAGTTTTAGGTTCGCGGTTGGAGGTGTTCGGACGTGCTCCTGGGTTCTCGGAGGGCTTCTCGCTGCAGGATGCTCTCCAGCACCTGCGCCTCGCCCAGGGAGGCGAGGATTGCTGAACTGATGGATTTCGGCGACCTGGCAGACCGAAATCCATCAGTTCAGTAATCCTCGCCTCCCCAGTCGCCATGGAGACGCTCAGGGTCCAGATCGCTGAGCTGAAGGATCTTAGGGGGCGTACTAGGGGATGGGGGGGTATCAGTGGATGCCCTGGTGGGTTCTATCTGGCCTAGCCTAGCCTAGCTTGTAAGTAGGTTACAGACTTCCCAGGTGGCATTTCGCCAAGTGGGCGGAGCCCACACCACTTTTAGCTGGGGGTGTTGGCCCTTCTAGGCCACTTGGTGCATTGGTAGCCCACGTATGAGCTAGGCTAGGCCAGGTTTGTCCCACCTTGACATCCACTGATACAGTGAGCGCCTTGAGTAAGGAACACATACTTTTCAAAGGGGGCTCGGTCGTTCCTTATGTTCGCATGCGTTATTTATTGTTCCTTTGCGTTATTTATCATTTGTCGTCCCTCATGCGTTATTCCCTGGAAAAAAGAGCTTCGTTCCTTATTTATCGTTCCTTAGGTCAAGCCGATCACTGGTAGCCCCCCAATCCCCAGAGCAACCCCGGCGCCCATCCCAGGAGCCCAGACCACCTCGGGCCACGGCGAAGATCAGGGCGGAAGGCTTTTCTCTGGGGGCCATCACCGGGCCCCAGGATCGTCGAACAAACTTTGCAGGAAGGTGATCGTTATTTTATTCATCGTTTTGCCGATCGGCGCGGGCCCCTCCCCACCTTCTGCCCCCCCATGGAGTGGATCTTGGCTGTTTTTCGGCGCCTGTTTCGAGCGGGTGGAGTCTCCCCTAGAGGCCGCACTCTTGCGAACAGTCGCACTAAGCAGAGGTCCAGAGCCAGCCCCCCCCCCCCCTCTCCCCTCGTCCGCCCAATGTCGAAACCCCGAAGAAAAAAACGCTCACAAGAAGAACCAATCCTCAGGAATGGGTCAAGAAATGTGGGGGTCCACGTTGCGGTGGAAGCCCATGCCAAGAAGCACCCTGCTTGCCTCCAGGGTGCCCTGGCCTTCTCGGGTTCGATGGTTTTGCTCTGGACAGCGTGACGTGCCCACACCAAAAATCAGTGGACGCCCTGGGGTCTCTTGGTTGGGTTTCTTGTGGAAGGTTTCTTGTGGTCGAGCCTCCACTGTATGAGACAATCATGACTTCGGGGGTTTGGAGGGGCGGGGCCCTGAGGACGAGTAGTATCAAACAGCGAATCCTGAAATCCTGGCGTCTCATTCGCTTCCGAGCCGGGCGTTCTCGACCAGCTTCGGGCCCCGAGACCCTGACGGATCGACCTCGCTCGAAAGATGGTGCAGAAGGATGGGGTCCAGGGCTCCGTTTGTGATGCTTCACGATGCCGCAGTGTTTTCGTTACGCGGGATCTCAGGGAAGATCCGGCTCCGGATCCCGAGTCGTTCTTCGACGGTCTCGGGGCGAGGGCCCCCTGGGGAGTCCGAAAACGGCCAACGTTTGCCACGACGCGAGCATGTCTGCTGGGATCGGCGCGGGGGTTGCTAAGGGGACAGATGGGGGAATCAGTGGATGCCAAGGTGGGCTGTATCTGGACTAACCTAGCTTTCAAGTGGGTTACAAGTGCCCCAAGTGGCTCTTGCGCGGTCACTTAGCCCGTACTGTGAACTGCGTCCCTTAGGCCAATTGGTAATTCGTAGTCCACTTAAGCTAGCTAGGCCTAATACAACACACCCTGGCATCCACTGATAACCCTCTACCTCCGTAGCAACCCCTGCGCTGATCCCAGGGGGGCTCATCCTGAAGTATGACCGCAGTTTTGCTGGACTTCGGCTGTGTTTTTGTGTTTCGTTGTGGCAGGGAGGTGCATGACAACAGGTTGAGCAACACGAAAAACAACAATGAGCACAGAGCGAAAAGCAACGTTTAGGTCCACAGGAGGAGGAGGAGGAGGAGGAGGAGGAGGAGGAGGAGGAGGAGGAAGAGGAGGAGCAGGAGGAGGAGGAGGAGGGGGAGGGGGCGGAGGGGGAGGGGGAGGAGGAGCGGGAAGAGGAGGAGGAGGGGGAAGAGGCGGAGGAGGAGGAGGAGGAGGAGGAGGAAAGGGAGGAGGAGGAGGAGGAGGAGGAGGGGGAGGAGGAGGAGAGGAGGATGAGGAGGAGGACTGCCCCGGGGCGCCAGTCTCGCTCCGCACCGAGAGGACCTGCAGGCCTTCGAGGCCGTCTTCCGGGCCGCGGAGGCCTCCGGCCTGGCGCCCCCCGCGGAGGGTCGGGGCCCCGGGATGCCGGGGACTTCCCAAGCCCTCGGGCGCGCGTTGTCATCGGTGGCCACGCCAGTCGGCCAAGAAACAGACGACACAGCCCCACCTGCGTCCTCGGAGGGGGAGAAGGTACCCATGCCTCTACCCTCCCCCCGTTATCCCCTTTCTTTCATGGGCCTCCTGGGAGGCTCTGGTCGCCACCGCTGGATTCGCTTCGAAATCCTGGTCAGAACGCACCCCGGGAGAGGCCTGGGGAGTATCGGTACCGGTACCTTTTGATCTCCTCATCTGCGGCCCTCCCACGCTGCGCCACGGCCCATCCGGGGCCGCAGCGGATGCCGTGCAAGAACGCCCGCGCCAGACTTCCCGGTCTGCGCTGTAGGTGGGGCGGTGCTGTTTGCTTTCTGCTCCAGCCAGGAGAGGGCAGGCTCGGGGGGAGACGACGGGCTCGAGGTCGAGGTCTCTCGGGCGCTCTCGTCGGGTGCCTCGGTGGTGCTCCAGCCTCGGGAGGTGCCCTCCAGCAGCCGCGGCCTCGCCGAGGGGCGCGCTCTGGCGGTGCCCAGGGATCGTCCCGACCGGCCGCCCGAGGTCCGAGCCCAGGGTGCGAGTGGCCAGCGCGGACGGGGCTCGGCTCGGGGGCGGAGGCGCTGCCTGGAGGGCTTCTCCGAAGGGCTTTGGCGACCCCTCCTTCTCCTCCTGCTCCTGCTACTCCTCCCTCCTCCTCCTCCTCCTGCTACTCCTCCCTCCTCCTCCCCCTCCTCCTCCTCCTCCTCCTCCTCCTCCTCCTCCTCCTCCTCCTCCTCCTCCTCCTCCTCCTCCTCCCTCTCCCCCTCCCCTCCTCCTCCTCCTCTTCCTCTCCTCCTCCTTCTCTTTCTCATCCCTCCTCCTCCTCCTCCTCATCCCATCCTCCTCCTCCTCTTCCTCATCCCTCCTCCTCATCCCTCCCCCTCTTCCTCATCCCTCCTCCTCCTCCTCCTCCTCCTCCTCCTCCTCCTCCTCCTCGGGTCGCCTACGGCCCCAGGGGAAACCATGTAGTGGAGGCATTGCCCCCCGACCCCCACAGATCGCCGGCTGGAGCCCGAGGGGCCGCTCCGCCCCGGAGCGCGTGGACCCGCAGATCAGATCGGGGGCCCGTCGCCGATCTGCCGGCGATGCGCCGCCGATGCCAGGGCGATGCGACGCCCGAAATGGGTACTGAAAGAATGGGTACTATGCCCAACAGCGGATCTTGTTCATTTTGAACAGGACTCGCTGTCGGCGCCGCCGCGGCTTGTGTCCATTTGAGACAGAAGGCCGCCTGACCAACAGCGGCCGCTGTTAGTTTGGGACAACATTTGCTGTTGGGCATCGTACCCATTCTTTCGGTGCCCATGTCGGGCGTCCAAAGATGCCTTCCCCCCCCTGAGCCGCCTTCCCCCCTGAAGCCGCCCCTCGCGTCGGCGCACGTCGGGCCTGGCTCTCTACAGGAGGAAGATCCAGAGTAGCCAAAAAATAGCGCGGGGACGATTTTATGACTATTCTTGACCATTTTGGAGTCTTTTTTTGACTATTTGTTTCTTTGTCTGTTTTTTTTTTCCTTATTTGTTCAAAACCCGCCTGTAGAGGGACATGCCCGACCTCAGCGTAGGCAGGGGGGCGAGATCCTTCGACCTTCCGCCGCTGCGGCCGCTGCCGGCGCGGCCGCAGCGGCGGCCGCCGTCGAGGCCGCAGCGGTCTCGTCGGTCGCCGCGGCCGCACCGCGGCGGCACCTGCTGCGCGGAAGGTTCGAAAGGCGGAGGTCGAGGGGCACCCGGGCTTCTGACGATCTCTCTTTTTTCAATCCGGGCGCTTCTCCTCGATCTCGGCCTCAAGGGCTCGTTCTCGGGCCCCTGGGCCCTCAGAAATGGATCTCGGGCGAAACTGCAGTGGAAACCCATGGCCAGAAACACCCTGCTTGCCTCCAGGGTGCCCTGGGTCTCAAAGGGTGTCGACGGTTTTGCTGTGGAAAGCGTGACGTTCCCACACCAAACATCGATCGACGTCCGACGTCCTGGGGTCTCAGGGTTGGGTTTCTTGTGGAAGGTTTCTTGTGGTCGAGCTCCTCTGTGCACCAATGGAAGGGGATCCCTTGGGGATTGAAAAGTCGGATCGTCAGATGCCAGGGAATGGGGGGAGGGTCGAGGGTTGCCCCACAGGGGCTCTCTTCGAGTATGGGATCGAGTAGTTACAGACTTGATTCACGCCAGAGTGTATTTTGTCGAACGAATCTACGAAGCATGAGGGTACTGCCTGTAGATCTACTAGAGTTATACGTTTTTGTTTGGGATCTCGACGAGAAAATAAATTCTGGGGTGCATCAATTCTGTAGTCGATCCCCTGCTCGACCTCCAGGGCCTCGATGGTGGACGAAAGGTGCATCTTTCTGCACCTCCCCCGTTGACCCCCCCCTGCCGCCGACAAACCAGGGCTCTGCCAGATCTGGCCAGAGAGGCCCGGCGGGGGGAAAACCGACCCCCTGGCTGCAAGTCTTCTCAGGCGCGCTAGCGGCCTGGTGTATCAAAGAGTCCCCGTCTCCGGGGCCCTGGGGCCCTGGACTTCCAAATTCTGTCAGCTGGAGAGGCCGATGGGTGGGGAGTGCTTCGGTCCGACCCGCCGGCTGCAGGTTCTCTCAGGCGTGCCAGTGTCCTGGTTTATCAGATAGTCCCCGTCTCTGGGGCCCTGAGTCTAGGCCTCCTGGATGGGGTTCGAGTAGATGGGGTCGGAGGATCCCGCCGCACCGACGATGCATCGGCGATGCGCCGCGATGTGGAGCCCGATTTTCTTCGCCGACGGCGCCGACGCATCGGCGATGTCGTGAATGCATCGCCGATGCACTGGCGATGCGGTAATTTCGACCCTCTGACTCCATCTACTCGGACCCCAAGGCCCCCGAAACCAGGATTGTCCAAACCAGGTCTCTGCCAGATCTGGCCTGAGAGGCCGAAGGGCGGAGAATGCTTCAACCCGGCCAGCCCTCTGGCCGTCAGATTTCTCAGGCGTGCCCGTGTCTTGAAGTCCCCGTTTTCCGGGGCCCTGCGATGGCTTCAGGGAGGCCTGGCTCGACACCCTGCTGGATCGGCACGGAAAGAAGAGGCAGCACCGCACAGAACCACAACCCCGACCTTCGACCCCCTCTTCATGCGGCCATCCTCAGGCCGGATCGATCCGCGCGGGCCCGGAACGGGGCGAAACTGCTCGGAGTGGCGCAAATTTGATTGTCTCCTGGAGGAGGAGGAGAAGGAGGAGGAGGAGGAGGACGAGGAGGAGGAGGGGGTAGTGTGTCGCCTCGGCTCCATCCTTGATGGCCCCCCGCGCCACGGCACCAGGCTGGGGTGCAACTCCTGGGAGGTCACGTTCTGATTTTGCACTGGTCCGAAGTCCGGCTTAATCCCGCTTAAGCCCGCTTAATCCCGCTTCATCCCGCTTAATCTGGCTTGCCTCCCGCTGAATCCGAGGCCCACTCCGGCGTAATAGCTCCCGAATGGGGCTTCATCCTCCGTAACCTTTTCGACGAAAACCTCCCAGTAGTTGCCTCCTAAATCAGGCCCCCGAGGGCCGAAATCGAGACACAGCGCCCAGGATGGAAACACCCATCTGAGCGACGCCGAAAAACGGGGTCGCCTGCGCCGACATGCGTGCGCGAGCTGCTCGCGCGAGGTCGCGCGCATCCGGCGCCCTCGTTCCCGGCGCAGCGTGCCGCGCTGGCGGCTTGCGTGAGCCACGGCGCAAGGTCGCTGTACCACCTCGCGCAAGACCCGCTTGTGATCAACTCCAGGAGCTGCGACGCCAGGAGTAACCAGCCCCGAACTTCATCCCTATCCCTAAGATCGGCACGCCCAAGGCGATGGCAACCTCAGGGACGTGCCCTCAGAAACCGAGGGAGCCCTCAAGTTGCGTGCGTCAGGGTGGCAGAGCTCGCCTCTCTCTGCGTAGGACCCCCTTAGAGGAGATTGCACTCTGGTGGGTGCGCCTGCCGAGTGTCGGAGCCGAGTGTGGGCGCCGAGCGTCGCTGCCGAGTGTCGTTGCCGAGTGTCGGTGCCGAGTGTCGGTGCCGATCGTCGTTGACGCGGGGGGTCTCTAAAGAGCTGCCCCGCCCAGACACACACACACAGTCCTTAAGATCAGCACCGAGGCAAGGTGATGCCAAACATAGGGATAGGGACAAGCTTCCAGCTTGTGATCGTTTTTTATCCGTTGTTTTGCCGATCGGCGCGGGCCCTCGCACCCCCCCTCCCCCCCGCCCTGGAGTAGATCTCGGCTTTTTCTGGCGCCTGTTTCGAGCAGGTGGGGTGGCGATCCGGTTCGGGTACGATTTCACTGTTGGTGTGTGTTCATGCATTTCCGTGTTTTTTTTTTGTGTGTGTGTGTGTGCGTGTGTATTGTGTATGTGTCGGTGTCGTTGTGTGTGTGTGTGTGTCGGTGTGTGTGTCGGTGTGTGTGTGTGTGTGTGTGTGCGTGCGTGCGTGTGTGTGTGTGTGTGTGTGTGTGTGTGTGTGTGTGTGTGTGTGCGTGTGTGTGTGTGTGCGTATATGTGTGTGTGTGTGTGCGCGTGTGCTTAATTAAGTGGTTGTGTATGTGTGGCGGGGGCGGGGGCGAGGCGGGCGGGCGGCGTTCGTCTCTGGGCAGGAGGGCGCGGGCTTCCTCGACATCTCCTCCATGGCGGCCGTGTACAGGGCGTGCCCCACCTGGCTGCGCGGCTGGGAGTGGCACGACCTGTACATGAAACGCGTCGTCAACTTCAGCGTTTGGAAGCTGAAGGAGGCGCGCGGCGCCCAAGCGGCGCCCGGGGATCAGGGGATCGCCGTTTCCTGGCCGGCCCCGCGGGGTCGGGAGGGGAAAAGGGGGTGGCCCACGCGGAAACCGACGTCACGAACCCAGGGTCGGCATCCCTTGTCTGCGCGGCAGACGCGTTTCCTGGCGCGCCCCAGGTTGTCGGGGACCGCGCGGAGCTCGCGTCGAAGCGGCGGGGCACCCTCCATCTCGCCGTCGTCCTGTCGCGCAGGCTGCTCGGCATGTGCGGCCGCGAGATGTGGCAGCTTCTCGACGATCGTCATCTGGGGACATCCAGAGGGGGGAGGTCGGGGGGAGGTCGGGGGTTCGGAGACGGGGAGTCAATGCGAACGGGGGTCAGCCAGGACGCCGGATCCTGCAGGATCCTGCAAGACCCCCCACTGGCTGACCCGGGTTGGCGTGCGTTAGCCTGGGTTTATTTTCAGGTTTGTTTCCTGCGTTGCGCTTTTGCCCCCGCTGGCCTGGGTTTGATTGGCCCGGGGCAGCATCTCCCCGAGGAAGGCGTCGACGTCGCATCGCTGATGCGTCGTCGCTGATCGGGCGCGGGGCGCCCCGCCCGGCCCGGTGCGGCGCTTTCTCGTCGTTGAGGCCCCGTCGTCGATCGGCCGGAGATGCGTCGCACATGCCGCGTCGATTGCTGCCCCCCCTCCCTCTCGGGGGCAGCCCGCCCCTTCGCGGCGCCTCGCAGGTGAGCAGCGCGTGCTTGACTTGCGCTTGTCCGCTGCGATTTACGCCGCGGTGCGGGGCCGACGGGGCCCAACGGAAAATCGCAAAATGTGTAGCTTCTCAGCGCCATCGTGGAGGTCCACTTGGAAGCCTCCTGGGCCACCTCTGCGGCCTCCTCGGGGCCTCTCGGGTTTCCCGGGCCATGTTTGAACCGTGCTCGGCCGCGAACAGGGCGGGCATTTCTTCCCTGCGTCGGCCTGGGAGCGGTGCCTCCGACAACCGTTGGCCCCGCCGAATGGTTCTCGCGGCGCCCCTGCTGGAGAGCGGCGAGGTCGCCCCTGCTAACGTGGGGGGGTCGCGCGTTGATTTCCCCCCGTGGGACCAGCCCGCGCAGCCGCGCTGAGGTGGGGCCGCCCGAGTCGCGGCGAATCGCCGTGCCGTAGTTTGCTTTTCTGTGAGCCCTAGCCGAAAGGGTGGGCTCTCAGTTCTGCGCAGCTGTCTTCCGCCAGTTGTGCAATGCGCAGTTGGCAGACTCTCGCAATGTCATATTCCTGCGTCGGCCTTGTGTCCCGACTTCGGCGCTCATCGCCGTTGCCGCTAATCCGCTGAGTCGCACCCCGCCCTCTTCGCCTTGCTCGGCCCCCCTCGAGCGACGCCGCCGCCGCCCCCTAGCCCGCGGCGCCCGCTCCGATCACCTTTGCTTGGCCTGACCGCCTGCCTAGCCGCCCTCGCGTCGCGCAGGGCTGGCGGCGGCGATCTTCATCGCGACGATGGTGCTCGGCGACGACGCCGGGGCCGCAGGCGCGCCCGCCTCGCCCGCCCGGCCGGCCGCCGCTGCCTCGCCGCCGCCGCCCGACGTCGGCCATCGCGCCCCGCCGGCCATGGTGCGCGCGCGCGACGGTTGAACCCGCGTGCGTTTTCCCCGTGCGAACTCGCTTGGAAGTCGAAAAATCTTAGTGAATTGATGCATTTATCTGTTCGGTGACTGCACTCGGCGTGGTTTTCGGTTGACTTGGGTCGCCGCGCTCACTGTGAATGTACGTTTTCCCATGGTTTTTGATGAATCCAGCGAGTTCGCGCGGGGAAATGCATGTGTTTTTTGTGTGTTGATCCCTGGTCGTGGCGCCTCGTCCCTTGGGTCCCTCCAGAGAGCTCGCGTTGCTGCGCGGCCGATGCGATGTCTTGGACTTTGGGTTCGCGGCCGGCAGCTGGAGGCCGCTGCAAGCCATCCCGGAACATTGGGGAGCCCGATTGAGGCTTTCGGGAGTTCGCCGTGAGCCGTCGGGGGCCGCGGGGAGGCACTGGGGGGTGTTGTGGCGCCCTTCGGCAGCTGCTCGGGCTCAAGTGCGCGCCCAGGCAAATCGGGCTGTCGCGCCCGCCCCCCTTCGCATGCAACCTGTGGCCCGCGGAACATGGCGGCGCCGAGCGGCGACGTCTTCGAGTACGCCGAGTTCCAGGTCGACGAGCAGGGCCCGAACCAGCGCGTGGACTGGAAGATGCTGCCGAAGTGGCAGGCCGACCGCGTCGCGGCCGGCGAGGGTACCATGCGCCTGGGCCCCGGCAGCGTGCGCGGCGGCCTCTACAAGTACCACAAGACGCCGTGCGTGGCGCCCTTCGTCGCGGACCACGGGCTCGCGTGGAAGCCGACGAACGGATCCCGGCCGTTGGCGCGGCGCTGTGCGCGGACCGGATCGATCGCCATGTTTGGGCGATCTGTCGATCGGTCCCAGATGGTCTGCTCGCTCGATCAGTCGACCCCTGGCGCGGGCCCCCTGCCGTGGCCTTGCAGCTGTCGAGCGTGGCCGTTAGGCGATCGGACGGCTCGTCGCGATGGAGTCGCCTGCTCGACCTCAAGATAATCGATGGCTGCCGCCTGCTGTCTGCCTCCCGGTTTCTCCCCCGCGGAGGGGGGGGTGGGGAATGTCGGGCGGGCGGGTCGGGCCGCCGTAACTTGTGAGCTCAGTGACAGCGGATGCCATGGTTTTCACGCGCCGTGTCGCGCCCGCCACGATCGAGATCGATGCCGCGGGCGTCGAGCGCGATGCGGGCGCGGCCCGCCTCCGTGTCACCTGCGATCGCGACGGCGATGTTCGCGATCATGTGCTCCGCACCTCGGAGTCGTCGACTGTGCAGATGGCGATCGGGGGTCTGTCGTTGGCCGTGGGCGTAGGCATGTCCCCCCTCCCGCTCTGTTGGGCACGTTGCAAGTGATAGCCTCTGTGCCTCGGGTCAGGGTCGCGTGCCCATCGCGTGTCCCTTGCCCCGTGTGGGGGGGGGGGGGGGGCGCGGGCGTTCGCGTCGGGGTGGCGCCCCCCAGGTGAAGAGCGAGCTCCGCGTCGCGATGGGATGGCCGCCGCGCGCGCCCGTGGCCTGGGTGGGCATCGACGACGCGGCGAGGCGCCAGAACGTCAGGTTCGCGCCGGCGTGTGAACCCCGCCCCTGCAAGTCGAACCGACGCCGGGGGTCTTTTGGCACTCCCGCCAGGGGCGGGGGGTGCCCTCCAGACTACATGCGCCCCCCAGAGTCTGAACCCCAGCCTGCGCCTCAGATGCCGCTGACCTGCAGGGTTGCAACGGGGTTCGCGCGTGGTCGCCCGCTAGGGTGAGCACCATCTTTGGTTTGAAGCGCCCCCGCCTGGACCAGTGAGAGCGGGCCTCGCGCGCGCGCGCGCAGGCGCCCGCCTGCAGGGGCCGTTGTGGCGGGCGGGCGAGGTCGCGCCGCATGTCTCGCCGTCGCGGGCTCTGCAGGCCGGGTTCCCGCGCAGTGGGCGCGCCCATGCGCCAGGTGACGTGTCGAGGGGCGACTGTGTCACTTCCGTTCTCGCGAGCACCCGCTCCTGCCCCTCGCCTGCCTCCTCCCTCATCCGGGCACCGCTGCGTTTTTCCCTTCCCCCGCCAGATTCCCTGTCGCCCACCCCGCCCTCTTCGCCCTGCTCTGGCCCTCTCGAGCGACGCCGCTGCTTTTCCTTGGCCCGTGGCGCCAGCGCCGACCGCCCTGTCAGGCTTGGGCGCTGCGTCGGTTGACGCGTCGAGGGGGGGCGATTGCGCCGCCCCCCTTGTTGCGAACGCCCGCTCCTGCCCCTCGCCTGCGTCCTCCCCCGTCCAGGCATTGTTGCGTTCTTCCCCTTTCCTGCCAGATTCCCCGTCGCCGCCCCCCCGCCCTCTTCGCCTTGCTCGGTCTTCCTCGAGCGACGCCGCTGCATTCCCCTGGCCCATAGCGCCTGCTCCGCTCGCCCTTGCCTGGCCTGAGCGCCTGCCCAGCTGGCTGCGCGCGCAGGGCTGGCGGCGGTGATCTTCGTCGCGACGAGGGAGCTCGGCGACGACGCCGGGGCCGCAGGCGCCCGCCTCGCTCGCCCGGCCAGCCGGTCGCCGCATCGTTGCCGCCGCCCGGCGTCGGCCATCGCGCGCCGCTGGCAACCGCGCGCGCTCGACGGTTCAAAACGCGTGCAGTTTTCCCGTGCGAAATCGCTTGGAAGTCGAAAAACCCAAGTGATTTCATACATTTATCTGATCAGTGACTGCACTCAGTTTGGTTTCCGGTCGACGCGGGTCGCCGCGTTAATTGTGAATGTGCGTTTTCCTATGGTTTTGATGAATCTGGCGAGTTCGCATTGGGAAATGCATGTTTTTTTTGGTGCTTTCATCACTTGTCGTCGCGCTTCTTCCTCTGGGGTCTTGAAGAGAGATCGAGTTGCTGGGAAATTGCCATTGTCTTTTTGGGCAGTAGTTGAAATTGCGTACTTCTAGGTCTAGTTGAAACTGGCATCTGTTGGGATTAGTTGGAAGTGTATTCTTTTGGGGTCAATTGATTTTTTTTTTTTTTTTTTTTTTTTTTGAATTCCTGCGAATTCCAAAGTTCCCAGGGAACCTTGGAATTCGGGAATTCGGCGAAATTCGGCGAACTCCCGATTTCGCAGGAACACAGCAGTGATAGGTTTCTGAGTTCATGGGAATTCAGGAATTCGAGGGGTTCCTGCACATTCCCAAATTCCCGAATTACCGAATTCACAGGAATTCAGCAGGGGTGGATTCTAAATTTCTGGAATTTGGGAATTAGGGAATTCGGGCGAATTCTCGAATTCCCGAATTCCCAGTTCCAGCAGGGGGGGGTTTTGAATTCCTGGGAATTCGGGAATTCGGAATTCGCGGGGTTCCTGCGAATTCTCGAATTCCCGAATTCACGAATTCCCAGGAATTCAACAGGGGGAGAATTCGAATTCCTGGGAATTCGGAAATTCGGGAATTCGGGGGGTTCCCGGGAAATCCCGAATTCCCGAATTCCCAGGAATTCAGCAGGGGTGAATTCTGAATTCCTGGGAATTCAGCAGGGGTGGATTTTGAATTCCTGGGAATTCGGGAATTCGGGAATTCGGAGGGTTCCTGCGAATTCCCGAATTCTCGAATTCTCGAAGTCCAAGGAAATCAGCGGGGATGGATTTTTGAATTCCCGGCAGTTCGGGGATTGGTGAATCCGCGGGGTTCCTGCGGATTCCCGAATTCCTAGGAATTCAGCAGGCGGGGATTCTGAATTCCTGGGAATTCGGGAAGTCGGGGATTCGGGAATTCGTGCGATTTCCCGAATTCCCAGGAATTCAGTAAGGGGGGA